CAACTGTTCTGGGAATGATTGCCAATGGCTGTTTCCAGATGCCTAACAGTACTGTAGTGTCGGTAAGGTCAATCGCAAAAGGAAGGAAAGTTGGTCCCAGGCCTAGGACCATGTGATCTTGTTGTCATGATATTTTATATATTATAAGAAAGCTTAATATTGTTAGGTTTCAAACCGGGGTCAAACAGCTGAGGTGCCTAATTAACATATCAAAGTAGACCTGGCTACCTGCTTCTGCCAGCATCCCTCAGTCCCTACCTGTCAAAGGGCCCTCCTAGCTGGCATACCCCACCCCTACCCTAAATTCTCCAGCCCAGGAGTTGGGCTGCCTTTCTCTACATTCCCTTTCCTGTGTAATTCAGCCATTTTGGTTACCAGTTCTTCCTCTTGGGCTTCTGGCTGATGCACCTGGTTTCCCTGCATTTCCCCTCCCTTCCCCTCCCCCTCTCCTCACATGGCTCAGGACCCTGTCTACTCTGGACTCTCCTATATGTCTCTGCCTCTACCTGTGTTCTCCCTTTTCTCTACAATAAGCTTTCTCCTCCCCCATGCCTATGAGCAGGCATGGCCTTCCTTATTAGTTCTTTTTTCAATCCATCTGGTGCTGAAACCTAGAGCCAATCATGTCCTTTTTCTTATATTTCTTCCCCTTCCTTCCTTCCTTCCTTCCTTCCTTCCTTCCTTCCTTCCTTCCTCCCTTCCTTCCTCCCTTCCTTCCTTCCTTCCTTCCTTCCTTTCCTTCTCCTTGTTTTTTCATTCAGGACTGACTGCCTGATTCCCCATGGTCTTCCCAATCTTTTTGATTCTTTAACCCTGGCAGAAAAAAAAACCCATACTTTTAGTCATTACATTCTCTTTTATTTCCATGTGCACTTTCCAATCTTGACCAATGTTAACCATTATGCAATCTTTGTCTCTATGTCTACTATGGATATTCACTGTGTTTCATATCCCCAATCTGCCTAGTCAGATGTGCCCCAGGGGGCAATCCGTGATGACCTTGCGTTTCCAGGGGTGTTAGAATTCTTCCTTTCTGTCTTGTCTGAAAAAGTACAGCCTTCTATGGCAATCAATTTTCTGCCCTTTCTTCTAACCAGCTGTGGCCCAGTGCATCAACTGAGTGCTTAGAATTCCTTCTGAAGAAGAAGGTGCACATTTGTTTTCCTGGAGTATGGCCATTCCTGCCGGTCCCTCTGTCTACCCCAGTGGAGCATGTACAATGTCTCCTCACTGTCAAGTCCAAAGGAAACCCCAGACTCCAAAAGGCAGTCCAAATGTCCAGAAATGATCTCAACCTAGTTTACAGAAGAATTTCTGGTGGTTAGATAAAAACCATCATTCCTCAGGAACTTGTAAAACTGGTTCCCTTCTACCAGATGGAGTCATTTTCCCTTACCTCTGGAAGAAGGAACAAATGGCTACCTGTGGCAGCAGGCCCCTTCCGTGTCATACTGTGGCATAACCCTTCTGTGTGCTGTGATTATGTTTCATTACCATTGGCTAATAAAGAAGCCACTTTGACCTATAGCAAGGCAGGTAGAGTCAGGTGGGAAACCCAAGCAGAGTCACCGGAAGAAGAAGGGCAGAGTTGGGGGCAGATGCCATCAAGCCAGGAGCAACGAGATGTTCCAACAGGTAACTCCCCAAAGCCGCGTGGCAAAAAATAGATTAATAGAAATGGATTGCTTTAAGTTGTAAGAGCTAGCTAGTAATAAGCCTGAGCAATGGACCAAATGGTTTGTAATTAATATTAAGCCTCGGAGTGATTATCCTAAAGGAGGCTGTGGGACCGGATGGGACAGAAAAGCCTCTGTTTACAGTATCACAAAGAACCTGTTACACATTTCAAAGTCCAAGCTTGCATCCTAACCCTTCTCACCCGCTACCGGACCCTAGCTCCCCCTCCTGCTCACTGCTCCTCTCCCCCAGTGACTCATTCTCCCCGGGACCCTGCTATTCTTGCTGCATTCCCCCTACTCCAGCTCTGCTCTGCTCCTCTCACTATTCTTTCCTTACTCTCTGCCCCCTGCTGTTCTCCCCTCCCTCTCTCCACTCAGCCCTAGCCATGTCCAGTCTGCTGGCCACATTCACTCTCTACCCAATGCCTCTGGCTGTTCTCTGTCTCATATCTACAATACAAATCTTCCCCTTAGCCATGCCTTGGAGCGGTCATATCAGTTTATCTACTTCCCTTTATTTTTGCACTTAAAAATACGTTCCAGCCCTTCTAGGAGGTTTTGTTGGCCAGGGGCACCTTCATAGCTGGCTTGGCTAGCTTGTCCTTCTCTCAGTCAGGCATCCACTGCTCCGGCTCCACGATTCTAGAGTCTGCATAAACAGGGTGGGACTCAACATTCGGGTTGTTTGTTAAAACTCTCCTAATGGCTTCAACACACCACTCAGGAACCACTGTTCCAAACCACCCAGCCCTTAGTGCTGTGTAAGGAAATGTCTCAGATAGCAGTCACATTGTGTTTATGAAGGCTGTTAGAGCAATTTCCAGAGCCTGGCATTGCTGGTATGAGCTCTACTGCAGCCCAGACTTTTGCTGCCTCCTCCCGGGGACTCATCTCATGCGGATTGATTTCCTTACGGTCTTTGCACAGATATTTTGCTCTTCTCCCTGAGAGCAGAGTACAAAGAGGACAGATGTCTTATCAAAGAATTCTAGTGGTATTTTTACAGATGTGAGGAGCAATTCTCTACAGGGACACTGGAAATTAGAAGTTTTGGGTTTCTAGAAACACCATGTTAGCATATGTAAAACTTAGTCAGTCTACCTCCTCAAAGCCAGAGTACCTTACTTGTCATTCATTAGCCAACTGTGGTTTCTTCAGTGAGACTTTCTGGTAGGGATTTATTGTCAGGACCACCTGGAAGACATGCATAAAGGGCAGCCCTCCTCTCACTAGACCTCGGCCTGAGAAGAACAGGTCTTGACTATACCCTGGAGCAGTGGGCTGGGTCACACCCACTACTCTTGCCCAACCAGTGATCAATGTGTTGTGACAGTATTTGTCCAGTGCAGCTGATCTGAGTCTGTCTTGCCCTTTGGGTCAGCTAGGGCTTGATTCTAATCATAGTTCCTTCCTCCTCCTTTACCAGAAAAGACATTTAAAACCCTCACATGAATGAAAGAAAATTAAAACAGAAACAAAGACTCATACTGAAAGCACTGGGATATAAGTGAGTTACGTGGTAAAAGCAGGGATTTTTCTTTTCTGTGTGAGCAAGACTGGGAATTTCTCCTAAGGGGCATCTGTTCCCCAAGCCACAGTGGGAGGAGGACTTGCTATTGTGTCTTTTCTGGTCCCAATATTTATAAAGAGGAAAGCAACAGAAAACCCTGAACTGGTGTTTCCCTGAGGCAGTGTTATCTCTCCAAACTAGGACCACATGCTTAGTGATGCCAAGGGCGTGTCTCTGCAGCCCTTCCTCTCCTGGGAACGAAGTCTTGCACACACAGTGGAGTGTGCTTTCTGGTACTTTGGTTGCTTGAGCTTTTGGTGTTGTTTCTGTTTTGAGATAGGGTCACAGAGTTTAGCTATGTAGTCCAGGCTGGCCTGGAGCTTGTGATTCTCCTGCCTGAGAGAGAGAGAGAGAGAGAGAGAGAGAGAGAGAGAGAGAGAGAGAGAGAGAGAGAGAGAGGGAAGGAGGGAGGGAGGAGGGAGGGAGGGGGAGGGAGGAGGGAGAGAGAAAGAGGGAAGGAGGGAGGGAGGAGGGAGGGAGGGAGAGGGAGAGGGGAGGGAGGGGGAGGGAGGGGAAGGGAGAGGGGAGGGAGGAGGGAGAGGAGGAGCCAGGAGCTGTAAGTTGAAGGCAGCCATGTCAGAGTACAGGCTGCTTTGGAGCTTTGTTCCAAAGAGAGCTGCAGGAAGGCATGGCTTAATTCAGGTTGTGAGATCTACCCCTCCATCACCACTACCCACCCGGTTCCCACCTGTAGATGTGGGATTGATGTCACAGCTGACAGCTTTCTGTGGAGAACTTAAGTCTCCCCGTCAGTTTGATCCCTCAGGTAACAGCAGAAGATCAAGTATGGTAGCTCATCAACGATCCCAGAGTTGAGGAAACGGAGGAAAGTGGCCAGCCTAGGCTACATAGGGTACACCGTTTCAAATCAGAGCAAACCAAGTCTCATTGCAATCGGTATTTGAGTTGCTGATATTTTTTATTCAAAAGTAAGAGAGGAACTAGGTGGAGGCAGGGTGTTGGTGCTGATAAGCAATTACAATGGTTGCTGCCTCGGATCCCTAGACTTATCATCGAGCATCCTTTATTACTTATGGACAGTTTCTAAAGGTTGCCAAAGGCGTGGCTTGGCCGACAGCACTTTGCTGGACACATCCTCCAAGCTCAGACTGCATTTAATGGGAGCAGGCTTGCTACAGAGTGGTTGGTAAGAGGAGCATAGGCAGGAGGGTTGAAAATTGAGACTGCTTGTTTTCCAATGTTCCTTCCTCATCTCAGAAGTTCCCGATACCATCTTATCTTTTGATCAGCTCTGAAAACACCAAAGGGTCTCCCATTGTCTCTGGTGCCACCAGTAAATGAGATAAAACAATTTGTACCAACACAGAGCTAAACACATTAGCTGCGTAGGAGTCTATGGGATGCATGGTAAGAGTTCCAAAGCTGAGTGGATCTATGGAAGTGCAATTCCGCTATTCGGTGTTACGCCTGTGGTACAATGCATACCGGCAGCCCTCTGCTGTTCGTACAGGGCCCTACTTGTCCGTGCACCATGCCCGGGGGAGTCCCTTCTCTCTGACTGCACCCTTGCTTCTGACCAGGCTTCACATATACTTAAGGAAGCATCAGGGAAACAACGCTGTTTGTGCTGTTCCCTAGCAGCAGCCACCGCTGCAGTTTACTGGGAATCACAGGGCCGCATTGCCAGCATCTTCCTCTGACTGGTGACTTTGTATTACACTGACCCTTATAACAACCCCCCATGAAGTAAAATTGAGACATTGTGCCAGCTGGGACACGATGACCCTTACCAGAGGACTACAAAGAAGAAAGCCATACTCCTCAGAAATGTGGTATCTTCTCAACGACAATCGTGTGGCCGGCTTCAAATTCTGCCTCTGAGGCTCCATATTGTTTGCTTGAGGAATCCGCACAGAAGAGAATGACTGTGTAGAAGAAATGCCCAGGTTCACGGGGCTTCCCAGCTCTTGTCTCTGGGGTGAGCTGAGCCGTGTGGTGCAGGGGCAGCCGGGAAGGACCTTGCCCAGAGGTTGAATTCCAGGGGTGGCCACAGCTCTGTGCTGAGACAAAGCCAAATAAACAGTGAAGATTAGGAATTAAAGCACACAGGCAAACAAACGGATTCTAAGAGCCTCTCTGCTTTCCTTTCTTATTCATAAAATATGAGAAAGTCACTTTTAAACCCTGGGACAAAGAACATCTCCGGAAAAGGAGAGACGAACTTGACTCTCAGTTGAAGGCTGCTCAGATCTATACCTAGCACCCAAGAGTTTGGTTCCTGAGGAATTCTGATAACCTACCAAAATTACTAAACAAGGAATCAGTTTTATTGGCTTTTTAAAAACATTTATTTATATTGATTTGAAGTTACTGCATTTTTCTTTTAAAGATTTATTCATTTATTGAAATGAAGAGATAATCACATCATCTCTCCCTTTCCTCCTGCCAACCCCTCCTGCTGAGAGATCCCAATTCAACATTTTTAGACCCCTAGTGACTAGCCCATCATAGAGTGACTTGCCCTTCTGCCCTCTCCTGAGAAACCAGAGACCTCAAGATAAACTTAAAAGATAACCCTCCCTGATCCAGGAACTAGCTCACCACATTCTTGCTCAATGTTTAACTGTACAATGTCCAAAGAATGCTTGCTTGAGATAACCTTCCTGTTAAGACATAAGCTGTCATTTAACTTCTCATCCTTTATGATGTTTGCCTAACTCTCCGATTCGGTTTTTCCCTTTGAACCCCGCCCCCCCCCCCACTGCAGCTACTAGGGGTCGAACTCCTCTGCCCCTGCAAGGGTCATGAGCTCGGCCCCAGTTCACTGGTTCCCCGAATAAACCTCGAGTGCTTGCAGCAAGAACGGTCTCTCTTGAATTATTGGGGCATAGGCTTATCCTGAGACTTGAGTAAGGGTCTCCCCACTCTGGGGGTCTTTTACCACATGCCCGCCCCTTTCTCCCTCTCAAACCCATGGCCTCTCTTCCTTTGTTGTTGTTACATATATATTCATAAACATATAAAACCACCTTCTCAGTCTGTTTAGTGTTACCCGTATGTGTAAGATTTCAGGGCTGACCATGCATGTACACAAGGGAGGTACAGTAAAGAAATTGCTAACATGACAGCTCTGTAGTATGGCTAAAGGGATGTGTTTGTTTGTTTGTTTGTTTGTAGGTATGAGAGGGACTATCCAGAGGCCTCTAGGAGAATCCAGATCAGAGAGAGAAGGAAGTAGACTGAGCGTAGCCAGCAGACTGGACATGGCCAGGGCTGTCTGGGACAGAGGAGAGGAGAGCAGGGGTAGAGACTAGGAAGAGCAGTGAGGGTAGCAAGAGCAGAGAATAGTGAAAATAGCCCGGGTATAAGAAGGATGAGCAGCTGGCCTGGGGTGGGGGAGGCAAGAGCTGGAGAGAGTTTAGGCAGAGGAGTTGAGAAGGGCTAAGATGCTGGCATGGACATTGGAATCTGTAACAGGTTCCTGTGATATGGAGGGAGCCTGGAGGCTTGCCCGGGCTTTCATCTGCAACTACGGGTAGCCATTTGTCCCTTTGGCCAGAGGTAAGGGAAATGACTCCAATTGGTAGTGGGAACCAGTTTCACAAGTTTCTGAGGAATGCTGGCTTTTATCGAACTGCCAGAAATCCTCCTATAGTCCAAGTTAAAGTCATTTCTGGAAATTTGGACTGCCTTTTGGAGTTTCCTTTGAACCTGAAAACACTGGCTAACCAATTAGGCGGCTTCTTGCAGGACAGACCATTTCTCCTGCTCCAGGGTAAAGTTTTAAAAGTATAAATTGAATTGGTGGTGGGTAGAGGCAGGAGGACAAGTCCAACAGCGTTCTGGAGCCTTAGGAAACCCTCGGCTTGGAAGTGCAGTCCCAGGTCCTGCCTCAGTTTACATGCAGCCCTAAGGGCTGCCTGACATCTTTTGATCACATTAAAGGACAGTTCGTGTATTTTTTAAATGCTTCTTTTTAAATTCTGGTTTTTATCTAGAAAATTGTTTTTTATGTATAAACAATATGTTCTGATTAGTTTCCTGTCCCCCAATCCCTCCCAAATCCTCCCCACTTCTCCAGCCACCCAAATCCACACCCTCTTTTTCCCCTCTCATTAGAAAACAAATAGGCAGCTAAAATAATAGTAATTGTTGTGCCCAAGTTGCAAAGAACCCCAGAGACCATCAGGAAGACAGACCCAACAAACTGCCAAAGCAAAGTTTTAATTGTTCATGCAACCATGACAGGGGCCCCGCCTGACAGAGCAAAGTTCCCTGTCTACTGCTAGGTTTTAAAGACAAAATTCACAGGATTACATCAATAGGTATGGGTTGGTTCCTGATTGGTTGACATTTGGGAACAATTAGGAGCATTTCTCAAAGTCATATTTTGGCATGAAATACCTGTGTACCAATTATTTTCATTGGTCAGTGCTGAGAGGGAACATTCTGTGGTTTCTTTTTTTTTTATTAATATTTTTTTTATTTTCCATTTTAAATTTAGATAAGAAACAAGGTTGCTTCACAAGTCAGTACGAGGTCCCTCTCCCTTTCCCTCCCCTCCTCCCGTGCCCTCCCCCCATCCCCCCATCCCCCCCCCCCCCGTTATCCCCTCATTCCCCCAGGGAGGGTGAGGCCCTCCATGGGGGTGTCCATAGTCTGTCATTTCATATAGGGCAGGGCCTAGACCCTTCCCCAAGAGTTCAGGGTGAGAGTGCACCTCACATTGTTCTATGGGAGTCCAGAGACCGTGTGTATACTTGGGATGGGTACTGATCTGCTGTCCAAGGCTCAATAGATTACCTAGGCCTCCTTACTGACACCCAGATTCAGGGGGTCTTGATCAGTCCCATGCTGGATTCCCAGGCTGATGCCTGGGATTCAAGAGTTAACCTTTGTCTGGTCAGCTGTTTCTGGGGGTTCAACCAGCCCAGTCTTAATCCCTTTGATCATCAGTCCTCCCTCTCTGATACTGGCTTTCTTGAGTTCAGCTCAGTACTTAACCAGCCAGTAAATGAAGTTTCTGTTTCCCAGACTCTCTGGCAATAGGATTGTAGGCTGGCACTCCCCAGATCTATGTCTAAAATCCATATATGAGAGAGTACATGCCATGTTTCTCTTTTTGTGACTGGGTTACCTCACTCAGGATGGTTTCTTCTAGTGTCATCCATTTGCCTGCGAATCTCATGATTCCATTATTTTTTTTCTGCTGAATAGTACTCCATTGTGTAGATGTACCACATTTTCTCTATCCATTCTTCGGGTGAGGGACATCTAGGTTGCTTCCAAGTTCTGGCTATTACAAATAAAGCTGCTATGAACATAGTGGAACAGACATCTTTGTTATATGAATGGGCATCTTTTGGATATATGCCTAAGAGTGCAGTTGCTGGGTCTTGTGGTAGGTTTATTCCCATTTTTCTGAGGAATCTCCATACTGCTTTCCAAAGTGGCTGAACCAGTTGGCACTCCCACCAGCAATGGAGGAGTGTCCCCCTTTCACCACATCCTCTCCAGCATAAATTGTCATTGGTGTTTTTGATTTTAGCCATTCTGACAGGAGTGAGATGGTATCTCAGAGTTGCTTTGATTTGCATTTCCCGGATGGCTAAGGATGTTGAGCACTTTCTCAAGTGCCTCTCAGCCATTTTAGACTCCTCTATTGAAAACTCTCTATTTAGTTCTGCAGCCCACTTCTTAATTGGGTCCTTTGCTGTTTTGGAGACTTGCTTCTTGAGTTCTTTGTAAATTTTGGAGATCAACCCTCTGTCAGATGTGGGATTAGTGAATATTTTTTCCCATTCTGTGGGCTGCCTTTTTGTCTTGCTGACTGTGTCCTTTGCCTTACAGAAGCTTCTCAGTTTCAGTAGGTCCCATTTATTAATTGTTGATCTCACTGTCTGTGCTACTGGTGTTATGTTCAGGAAGCTGTCTCCTGTACCAATTCTTTCAAGGGTACCACCCACTTTCTCTTCTAAGAGGTTCAGTGTGGCTGGATTTATGTTGAGGTCTTTGATCCATTTGGACTTAAGTTTTGTGCATGGCGATAAACATGGATCGATCCGCATTTTTCTACATGCCAGTCTCCAATTCTGCCAGCACCATTTGTTGAAGATGCTTTCTTTATTCCATTGTATATTTTTAGCTTCTTTGTCAAAGATCAGATGTTCGTACGTGTGTGGGTTAATACCCGGATTTTCAATTCGATTCCATTGGTCTGCCTGTCTATTTTTGTGCCAATACCAAGCTGTTTTCAGGACTATAGCTCTATAATAGAGCTTGAGGTCAGGGATAGTGATGCCTCCGGACGTTGCCTTGTTGAACAGGGTTGTTTTGGCTATCCTGGGTCTTTTGTTTTTCCATACAAAATTGATTATTGTTCTTTCAAGGTCTGTGAAGAATTGTGCTGGGATTTTAATGGGGATTGCATTGAATCTGTAGATTGCTTTTGGCAGGATTGCCATTTTTACTACATTGATCCTACCTATCCAAGAGCATGGGAGATCTTTCCATTTTCTGAGGGCTTCTTTAATTTCTTTCTTTAAAGATTCAAAGTTCTTACGATACAGGTCTTTCACTTGTTTGGTTAGCGTTACCCCAAGGTATTTTATGTTGTTTGTGGCAATTGTAAAGGGTGATGTTTCTCTGATTTCTCTTTCAGCCCTTTTATCATCTGTATATAGTAGGGCTACTGACTTTCTTGAGTTGATCTTGTAACCTGCCACTTTGCTGAAGGTGTTAATCAGCTGTAAGAGTTCCCTGGTAGAGTTCTTTGGGTCATTGATGTAAACTATCATATCGTCTGCAAACAGTGGTTTCTATGGCTTTGTCTTGTTACTTGCAGGTGGTTTGTTGTACATAGGTACCAATAGTTTTCAGAACTGTGTCCTGGAGACTACAGGGGAGGTTTTGGTCTCCCCTGGAGTCTCTTTTGTGACCAAACAGTTCCCAGGAAACAAGCATCTAGGAGGC